TCCATAAAGCTCTCTGTGCCCGAGCCCAGAACCTTTGGAGGATTATCCCCAGCCCCGCCAGCTTCAGGCAGATGGGGCACCCAGGAGCCGCACTCGCAGCAGCAGAGGTGAGCTGGGGGAGAAACCTCACCCTGGGCAGCTGGGAGGGTTTCCTTCTTGAAGGACCTGGGCATTTCTTCCACCCCTCCCCAGGCCAGCCAGTGACCGTGGCCTCTCTTCCAGCGCGACACCGGCTGTTCCAGCACCCGTCGCCCATGGGAGGGAGCATTTGGTCATCTCCAGCTCCCCCCAGCCCACCGCAGCGGGTGGACAGCGTGGCCACGGAGGTGGAGGACCGCTGCCCAGTGTGCCTGGATAGCTGGGACAATGCCGCCTATGTGATGCCGTGCCTCTTCCTTTTCTAGAGTGACACTGGCTGCTGCGGCACAAGTGAAAGAGAGCAACTTGACATCGCCAGGTCCCCCCAGCCCACGACAGTGAGTGGAGAGCGTGGCCACGGAGCTGGAGGACCACTGTCCCACCTGCCTGGGCAGCTGGAGGAGGCCAGCTTTGCCATGCCATGTCTCCACTGGTTCTGCTACCTGCGCATCCTGCAGTGGGCTGAGAGCAAGCCCGAGTGCCCCCTCTGCAAGAGGGGGATCCAGTCCACCTTGCATTCAGTACAGGCGGACAATGACTACAGGGACCATGTCATCACACCCTCTGTTTCCACAGTTTCCACAACCACCCAACGCTCCTCCAGACCCTGCACTCCTGGGTCCATCAGGAGATGGAAGAGGTCTTTTGGCAACTGGGTGCTGGAGGCAGCCATGGTAGAGGACACCGTCACGGGCATCCAGACAAACCACAGGATGGATGCAGAGCTGCCAGGACCAATGCTGGGGGTCGTTTTCCAAAACCATACAGTGACACTCGTGCAATAGAATGCATGCGCGCCTGTGCAACAGTGCAGCAGAGAGCCCTGCTGTCTTGCACTGGTGGGCCAGAGGCTGGCCCTGGAGACCCTCCTCAGGAGGCAGCAGGGTCCGGGGTGCCCGCGGGGCCAGCCTGGCAGACAGCATGGTGCTCTGCTGCACTGTTGCACAGGCACATGTGAGCGAGACAAGTGGTGGGGCTGAAGGTGAGTCCTTGCACCCCTGAAGGCAAGTCCTGTATCCAGGCCCGCAGCTCTGCAGCTGGTCCCAGGGCAGATGTTTGCAGCCAGGAGGTCTCCAGGGCCAGCCTGAGCCCCAACACTCATCTCCCCAGGCCTGTCCTCCTCCCCACCACACCCTCAGCCCCCAATTCCCGGAGCTCTGCTCTCCCACCAGCCTCGCCACAGCAGTGCCCAAATCGCTTCTCCTGCACCGAGTCATGGCTTGAGGCTGCTCTCAGCATCACCCCAGGTTCATGCCCTGCCAAGGCAGGAGCCCCAACAAATTCAACAAGGGGAAGCACAAAGTCCTGCACCTGGGGAGGGACAAGGCCAGGCACCAGCACACAGAATCACAGGATGCTTTGGGTTGGAAGGGACCTTTAGAGATCATACAGCCCAACCTCCCTGCAGTAAGCAGGGACATCTTCAACTAGTTCAGGTTGTTCAGAGCCCAGTCCAACCTGACTTTGAATGTTTCTGGGGATGGGGCCTCTGCTACCTCTCTGTGCAATCTGTGCCAGTGTTTCATCACCTCATTGTAAAAAATTTCTTCCTTCTATCCAGTCTAAATCTACCCTTCCTTGGTTTCAAACCACTAGTCCTTGTCCTGTCACAACAGGACTCGCTAAAAAAATTGTGCCCATCTTTCCTACAGGCCCCCTTTAAGTACTGAAAGGCTGCAGTAAGCTCTCCTTGCAACCTTCTCTTCTCCAGGCTGAACAGCCCCAACTCTCTCAGCCTTTCCTCGTAGAGGTTCTCTAGCCCTCTGATCATTTTTGTGATCCTCCTCTGGACCCACTCCAACAGCTCCATGTCTCTCCTGTGCTGAGGGCTCCAGAGCTGGACAAAGGACTCCAGGTGGGGTCTCACCAGAGCGGAGCAGAGGGGCAGAATCACTTCCCTTGACCTGCCAGCCATGCTTTTGATGCAGTCCAGGATACAGTTGGACTTCTGGGCTGTGAGCACATGTTGCCAGGTCATGTCCAGCTTTCCATCAACCAGTACCACCGAGTCCTTCTCCACAGGGCTGCTCTCAAGCCCTCCATCCACCAGCCTGTATTGATAGCGGGTGTCCTGGGTTCAGCCAGGACAGGGTTAATTTTCACCGGAATCCAGGAAGGGACACAGCCGGGCAGGCTGACCCCAGCTGGCCAAACAGAGCAGGGTATTCCACACCATGTGCCATTATGCTGGGTTCCGGTGGGGGGGGAGCGGGGCAGCGGGAACTCAACTCGCGGCTCGGGAGCACGGGCGGCGGTCCAGTCCAGGAGAGCGGCTCTGTGGGTTGTGCAGTTTGTGTTGTGTTTTCCCCTTACCTGTATCATCGTTCCTGTTCCCTTTGTCTGCTGTTCTGTTAAACTGCCCTTATCCCGACCCACTGGTTTCTGCCTGTTGCTTTCCATTGTCCTCCACGCACCGGCGGGGGGAGGGGCGGCCGTGTGGCGCTTTTGTTGCCGGCCGCAGCCAAACTATAACAGCGGGGCTTGCCCCGACTCACATGCAGGACCTTGCACTTGGCCTTGGTCAACCTCGCGAGGTTCACACAGGCCCAATTCTCCAGCTTGTCCAGGTGTCTCTGGATGGCATCCCTCCCTTCAGGTGTGCCAACTGCACCACTCAGCTTGGTGTCGTCTGCAAACTTGCTGAGGGTGCACTCAATCTCACTACATCATTGACAAAATTATTAAACAGCACCAGTCCCAGCGTGGACCCCTGAGGGAAACCATTTGTCACTGCTGTCCATGTGGACATCGAGCCACTAACCACTACCCTCTGGCTGTGACCTTCCAATCAATTCCTTATCCATGAAACAGTCCACCCATCAAATACATATTTCTCCACTTTAGAGAGAGGGATGTTGTGGGGGACTGTATCAAAGGCCTTACAGAAGTCCAGACAGATTACATCCATAGCTCTTCCTTTGTCTTCTATAAATTACTTATTTGAAATGTAGCATCTTTTCCTTCCTCCCATCTTTACGGTTTCTGGAGTACTATAGAACAAAATGCACCTAATTCATCTTCTGGGCCCAAACTAAACACCATTTCAGCATACAGCTAATCTTGTGAACATTTACGTGTGTGAAAGCCTTACTCTACAAGTTTACATTGAGCAGAAAAATATGTTGATTCAAGAGTACAAGTCATTTAGCTAGTCCATTCCTCCATTTTTTCTTTCACAATTCTGCAGCAAATAGCCTATGCTGAGTACGCTCCTTGCAAGTTGAAACTACTATGCTCACTGTTTCATCCTAGGTTTCTCATACAGAGTATAACTCATACCAGCAGAGGATAACTTTTATATGAATATAGCCCAATACTTCTAAAAATCATGGTAGCAATGGTTAGTAGAATTCGTTCCTATTTGAAAAAATACATTAGTATAACATCACTTAAAATGAAAGATATGGTAAAACCTAGCAGGATAATAACAAGCAGAGAAAACAAAGCTTAGCACTTCACAAGCATGAAGGCCCTTACTGTATTATGAATGTTAATTTCAAGCTTCCAGCTGTTAACTTTCCTTTAAGGAATTATACATACTCTCAAACAACAAACCCCTCCAACCTCAACCACTCCCAAAAAGCCCACTTCAGTAAAACTGCAACATTTAAAAATAATATAGGTATTTTGAATCACTGCACAACAAACTCTCACAGAACTGTGGAGCACAAAATTCAATGGACACGTTTAGCAAATGGCTTGCTTTCTAATAATAATGTACCCGGGTCAGCAAAATTGCCTGGTACAGTTCACATCACAACAAAAACAGAAGTGGTGTGAACAACAATTTGTGGCTTTTGTTTGTCTGGTCTTTCTGGTTTATTCTTGGTTTTGGTTTACAGTTTCTGTAGGAGTTTTTTAGTTTGTTTGTGGGGAGGGTGTTTGCTTGTTTGTTCAAAGAACGTGCATGTACGGTGTATTAGCTCACAGTGCACTACATTCCACCAAAGCTTCAGACCCTGATTCTACAAGATGCTTCATGACAGCAGTCCTCCACAGGTGTCACACGTGTCTCCACACCAAGCCCTTTGATCTGACCAGTTACATTCAGACAGAACTTACTGCAGCAAACCTTCTCATGTTATCCTTTAACTTTGGTTATCCATTAAAAATTTGTGCAGCCTATGCATACACTGACTTCTGCAGCCTGAATAGTACATGATAGTTAATATCCTGCTGGGAATTACAGTACTTTCTTATTTGTTACACAGAAATAGTAATTTTCCATATCCCCAGAGAGCAGCTATTCAAAAAACAGACAGTAAGCTGTAAGGCATATGTAGGTTTACCATTAAATTCTTTCACACACAGAAGTATTCACAACCTATGGAAGATTACTCTCTAATAAAAAAATTATACCCTACTTATAGAATTAGGTTTGATATTAAAGGAATGTTTTTAGGACAGAAAAGTTGTAACTTAGCTTAAATTAACCACCCAAACTGGCTACATTTTACGAAGATAAACAGAGCATCCACAAACCCAAACTACAGAATGGATGAAAACAGGCAACTAAATACATGTATCTAACTTGGGGAAACTGTAACATTATAGTCCTGAAGGTTTTCAAGACTCTATGAAGAGAAATATAAAATTTGCATACCCGTATAATACCAAGAGAGTGGACCTTCAGAGTTGTACTGAAGGTTTACTAAGAAATGTATTCCTTGAGTTCTATTGCTTTTAGTGGAACACAGACACGGAGAAGTCAAGAAGAACCAAGGGCACAAGTTCTGCAGAAAAATGTCTTCACAACAATTACGACACATTAGAAAGAAAGAGTTAGTGCTTCACACTTTACAAAGCTGAGCGCAGAACACCTGAAATAGTACATATCTTAACTGAGAACTTAAAACACCTACCTTATCTCTGATTTTCATATCTAGACTTTTAAAACATTCTTCAGTTTCCTGGATTTTTTTTGTCACTGGGTTCTGCATTTCTTTCAGATTCTTCAGTTCTTCCTTGGCTTGCTCTCGGCTTTGTTTGACTTCCTCATGCTGCTGACGAACATTTTCATATTCCTTGGAGGAGTTGAAGGTAAAGTAATTAAAGACTTTTGTCTTCTATTCCAGTACTTTATACCGTTCTAACATTTTATTTAATTGTACACGAGTTTCAGTAGAAATGCCTCGTTCAGAAGCTAGTATTATAGCAACTAGTTAAGTAATCCTCCTGTTACTAGTGAGTATGGTAGGGATCATTCAGTCGCCAGTGAACAAGCACACACATTTAATGGCTCTCAAATAATACACAATTCAAGTAGCAGAATGAACGACCAATTTATCTGCAATTACCTTGCCTCTAAGCCCATCTGGGATCAGTGTGGACAAAGTAATTCTTTAGCCCCTTCTGTCCATAGTTTGAGCACTACTTAGGTAGAAGTCCTCAAGCTAAGGAGCAAATTACCACAGAAAAGTTCAGGAGAAAAAGGAAGGATCCGGACAGATCAGAGCCAGTATCAGACATAACCCTGACGTAAACCAAAGAGAGAGACAGAGTGGAACAGAACTTCGGAAAACATAACAAGAACTCCACCATACACAACAAATACCAGAGAAGCTATCTAGGGAGCTTAATTGGAGATGCATTCCCGAGAAGAAGAAGACAGTAAGTAGTTTGGTGACCAAGAATTTCCACTTCAAGAAGGGGGGAAATTTGGGGAGAAAGTAGTTTAGGCTGCAGGAGTCATTACGCGAATTTTTTTATGTTGTGCTGTCTGGGGAAAAAAAGAAAAGAAATGGGGAGGGGAGGGGAGGGGGGAAGAAAAGAACATGACATTCAATGATTGTTAAGGCTTCATGAGAAAAAAGATACTCAGGACCACATGGAGAAGGAGCAGATACATGTATGCAGAGGTGCACAGGAAGGGAAAGCTGCTGGATTTGGTAGGCACTAAAGAAAGCCCCTGGATTAGAGCATATGCCTGGACTCATCCAAGCTTTGGAGCATCAAAAGAATTGTAAGTAAGGACAACCTGCAAGCTCTCTCTGCAACAGCTAACTTTGCTTCATCTGCTACCACTTCTTCCTAGTTATTCTTTCTTCATAGTATATTTTTGACAAAGCCAGGCAGTATTTGAAGAAAGCTTCTGTAATTCTATGATGTGGAGTACAATCAGTAACCACCATTACAAAGTTACAAAAGTAAAGCAATTTCACTTAGCTTAAAAATTAGCTCTGCTCTAAATAAGGTACTATTTCAAGGTTAAAGCAAAAGCACACACATACAATTACACTGCCTTACTTCAGACTCAAAGTACAGGTAAGTTTCCCTAGCAATTGTCATAACATTTGTTTTATAGATCAATCCTTTTAACATTTTAAGAAAACCTGACTTGCACTAGAGCTCTGTTTTCTGATAACCTTTAAGTAAATAACTGTGATGCTTGTAGCTACACACTTAGCTAAAGATGTGTAGAACTTCCAAAAGATCTCAGCCCTCCTGAGTGATATTTGCACCTAAACTATATAACAAAGCTTTTCTCAACTGTCAATGGAAGAGGAGAGAAAGAAGACTAGACACAGCTTTCACTTTAATTACATTTTCATAATTATGTGTTTTCAGGACATCTACAGCAGGAGGAACAGCACCTCCTGTTGCTTACTACCTTAAAACAGTATACCTTATGGTATATGGTACTACCTTAAGCTGAAGCTTGGAGGAGTAAGAAACCCCTTTTCTCTAAGACCCTACAAAAGAACGGCTATCTATGTGGCTCCTTAAATCTGCTCACTGATTACAGATGACACAATAATTTGATGAAGTCCCGTTAAGGTACACACAAGAACATTTAACATCCCCTAGGTCCTCGAGTCCAAATCTTCAACGTCATGCTCCTAAGGTCCATTTTATTGAATTTAAAGCAGATATTCCAAAGCCAATTAGACATAGACATACATAAAAATGGTGTATAGTTCTCCACATACAGAAGCAGCTGGCACTGACCAGCAGAACACTTGATTAGAAAAGCGCTCCTCAGGTGAAGAGTAGTCTTCAGAATAAAAACCCAGTTCTACAGTGGTCAAACAGTAAAACAAGTTCAGCACTAGACTTCTTCTTTTCCACTAGGATTAAGAGACAATCAAGTGTCATATTTCAGTTGACCTGTTTTCAGGCTCCCTGTCTTCTGCACTTCAAAACACACAGCAATGTTTATACATCTGCTTCCTGGCTGCTTTGAAGGCTCACGTAACTATTTTGTTTTGTTACAGGGGCAATTCTAAACAGCTAGGTATGTTTGGTCCACAAGTAGAAAGGTACCTTTTGGGGAGGATGGGGGCAGCAGCGAGTTCCCCAGAAGGAAGAACAAACTCCTGTGCTACTCTCAGCTTTGGTGAATTTAATTTTAAGACATCACAAAATGTTTATTCTTAGGATTAAACAGTGCTAGGTCAGACGACAAAGAAATACGCTCTTGTAAGAGAATGCATTTCTTCTTTTAGAGAGAACGTGGTATTTTGCAACACAGAATACCAGGAGATCTGTCAGAAGAATTTGACAAACGACGTAACAGCAACAATCTTGTAGACTGAAGACCACAATGGAATATGAAATTTTGTTGCAACCTGTAGATCAAATATCTTCTACCTAGTAAAACAATTACATTGCTGATTCTTGATATCAACTGTCTATTTTCCACATGCAAGTGACTTCTGGTAAACAATCTGGTAGACACTATTGATTCTGTACTACAAATCAAAACTTCACACAGGTGTCAAAACACACTGTTGTTTCTGTGGATTCAGTGGCCAAAAAGTTCAATTTCTCTCCATTGAGTGGACCCACCAGAAGTATTTAATATATTCAGCAAAGCAAACTGTCTAAAAAGCAGTGAAAGAGTAAGGTGTGAGAAAGTATGTCTATATCTGCTTAAGAAACATGCAACTAACAGCAACATTCTCAAACTTACGGAAGGCAATTTAACCGACAACAGGTATGATTCCTAACTCCCGTTTCCCCCCACCAGTTTCCAGCCAGCCTTTAGAGTTCTGTACCTGCAAGTATCTTACAGCAGAGGACAATCAGTATGAGTCTAGATTAACCTGGCAAGACCTACAACTCTCCTAATGAAACAACTCTCTCTTCTTGTTAACTAAGCCAGGCTAATTCTTGTGTAATAAGAAAACCCTGCATCATTCAGCAAGTGCAGAAGTCCAGTCCTAACAGCACAGAGCATACATCCCACCTCCTTAGCACCTGCCACCATCCACCTATTTCAACTGCTGCACCTACATCCCTCTGTGCTGTTAGCACGGAGGTTTGAAGGCAATGAAGGCACATCCCCTGAATCCAGTTGCTCTTCAAGATACAAGGGACACACAACATACAAGTTCTTTTCATACCCATGTGAGGCTTTGTTATCAGCAATATTGCAACAAAATACCTCACAAAAGTGTTCTGCATTCTCCACAAATATTACATTTAAGTTTTCATAAGTTCTGTATCAGTATTTTGTGAATTCTATAAAGCTTGCAAACAAAGCAAACAACACATTGCTTCAATATAATAAAATCCACACCAGCTTTATCTGTTTATAATAATTTAATCTGACTAACCATTCAGCATTAAACTAAAATATAATCGTCAAAGTGCTGTTCAGAAAGACTTATTTTGCTTCTTATAAATGACCTATCCTTGATTCCAGGCTCTTTTAAATTTGTTTAACATTTCCATCTCTCCATATGCCAGCATTTGGGATTGGCAATCTATATTCACCATGACTTGTCATGCACACCAAACCTCAACTAATATATTTAAACTAGAAAAGGGGGAAGGCAACCTGTAAAAAAAACCAACCAACCAACCCAAGAAAACCCACATTCTATAAAAAAAAAGTTAGACCTGGAAGAAGCAAGTGGAACTGGCTAGGTACAGCTTAAATTAAGCCAGTTGTTTCTGCAAGGAACAAAAGGAGTACTGTTCTTAGTCCATATTGCTGGCTTTCCTAAATGGGCAGTAACCACTTAAGTTACTTCTTAAGCAACTTCTTCAGGCCAGCTACATGTGCAAGCAAACCTCTGACGAAAGTCAGGCCAAGAACAGTATTTCAAGACCTGGCCTGTTTGCAGCAAGCAATTGCCTTGATGTTCAAGTAACTCTGGTCAAACTTCTTTCAAAGAAACTTCTGTCATATTTCTAATATTGCAGTATGAGGAAAAATAGGTTAGGTAAGAAAAACACTGAGAAGAACATAAAAACTTACCACCCAAGGCCTTTTCCTCTCAAGCATCTCAATTAAGTCTAGATGGCGCTTGCGCTCATGGTATCTCTCAACATCTTGCTTGTATCGTTCAACCCTCTGTCTCATTTTCTCCAAAGAGTTAGTTTTGTCTCTGCACAAGTTCTGTAAGAATACACATTTTCATGCTTTATAGCTCCTACTTTGTGAAAACACTTTTCAGCAATAGTCCACACCTCACCTGTACATTAAAGCAGATATTTAACCGTAGAGAGGACACTTCAGTGCAGTAGTAATTATAGGGGAACAACCCAACTAGAAATAGTTGTCCAGCTTTTTCAAGCATGTTTATCACATACTTTCTGTGAAAACAAATCTATTTTAAACAGAAATCTTAATCTAAACCATAAGTGGTTTTGATAAATACAAGTAGCAAAAATGCTTGCGAAAGATCTTGTAGAGATTTGTAACAGAAACATTAAGACTGGTGTGGGAATGAAGTATGTATGAGTGGAAACGCACATGTGCAAGCACAAGAAGAAACAGCAGAACACAGGATTAAAAGAACCGCCTGGAAGCACTAACTACCAACACTGTTCCCAGAACACTGTTCCCAAGACACCATTCCCAGCAGTAACACTTTATTTCTGCAAAGATCACAAAGACTGCTGCGTTCTGGTAAGATCTACAAGTATCTGTGAGGGAAAGACCTAAAACCAGGATGGCACCACAGTTGCAGCTTATTGTATACACTCTCCCCTTTCCTCTTTGTCTGTTAGTATTCCAAACTAGGAAAAAAGGCAGCAGGCAACAATCATTGTCTGCAGTTTATGGAAACTGAAGTCAGCAAGATTAACGCAAGGGACCACTCTGTAACAGCTGATGACTTCTAAAAGGAATAAAAGATCTGTCTGGAAAACTTGTTGCCAGTCAAGAATCCCAGAGAAGTCACGAGAACTTGACAACATGCATCTCTTGTCCTCTGTGTACAGACCACTTGCACAAGCGTCCTTGTGCTTACGAACACGTGAACAAATTTTGAGAGAAGATGAGCATAATTTGGTAAAATCAACTTACTGCAGATCTTGTAAATATACACCCTCTTCTAATTCTGTAAGATCTCATTTCTGTATAGACACTGCTCTGACTCCATACTGCACATGTTTACCTCCAGTTCTCTTTCCTTTTCTCTGAAGTTTTTCAGCTCACAGTGATATTGGTACATTTCTGGAGGACCGATGGATTTTTCGGTGGCTTCAAGCAACTCAATCTTACTCAATTTTGCAAATTCTCCAACTTTGTCCTACATAATAAAAGAACAGTAACAAAAATACAGTATTAGTTAGAACACTGCAACACAGTAATACTGGATTTAAATATCGCAACGTACTTCTCATGAACATCACCTGACTTACAGATCTATGCCAGAAAGCTCTCGCATAGTTAAGCATAGGATGACCATCTCATAAAGTAACAACCAAGCCTCCTAAACATTTGTAAGACTTCATACGTGGTTTTCTTGGAGCTGTTCTAGCACGATTTAAGCTTAAACCTTAGCTGTTCTTGGCTGTTTGGCAGCTTTTGAGGGTAGCTGTTGAGGACATGGGTTGGTTCATTATTTTTGAATTGGCTATCACTGTTCTGAACAAGACAGTTTAGTACAGACAATTCTTAATACTGGTTCTCAGGCTGCTGAGGCTACACCTTCCCATTATAAACGCTATGATTAACTTAAAAGTTAACCAATGTAGAAGTTAATATTAAAGCTGGCAGCCAAGGGTATCAGGAAGCATTGCTGCTGTCCAGGGCAGAGGAACAGCTCAAAACCGAGACTGGAGTGAAAGGCATGCTTGCAATTGCTACAGGGGCAGGGAGCAAACAACCCAAAACTTTCAACACGTATTGAAATATGTGTATATTCACTGAACTAGTATTTATATCCTAAAGAAAAGCTGTTTTAAATACAAAAATTATGTTGGAACAGTATGCAGAAAATTCTACTCTAAACAAATATTATGAATACGTAAATGAAAAAAAACCCTTGAGAATATTTGTTTCTGCAATATTAGCTTTCTAAATTTTAATGTTTTTCAGCATGTCTTCTTGAATGCACTCGTCCTCAAATAAAACAATACACCCATGGCTGGCCAGGCTCTGATAAGGTTTGCTTTTATGACGATCCTTGAGAATGCACATGAACTGGGAAGGTCTTAAGAAGGAACGTAATATTTTTTTAAGGTGCAATGGTGAGGCAACTTAATTACCCGATATGTCTGAGCATCAATTCAGATATGGAAAGTACTGCTTGCAGTATTCTTTAATCGTCTCTCTATTTTCCATCAGGATGATTTTACTCTTACATAATTTGATCCTAAATATCTTTCAGTCCTATGCTATGCTCAAGAAACTGTTGAGCCACACAGGTTACCAAAAAGGTTCTAGGAGCAGTCTCTGTTGCAACCGTAGAGCCATATAGTAGGACTGCTTTCTGGTTTTTGGAGAAAAAAATCCAGGTGACTCTTCCCCTTCACTTACCAAGCACAGGAACCAGTCCCAAGGAACTGACTGGATATAACCAGAGAAAAGCGCGTGCATGGATTGACGGGGAAAGTCAAGGATGCAGAACTACAGGAACCATGCAGTTAAATGTACAAAGACAGTGCTAGATTTCAAGACATTATAAAAATTTCCTTACAGATTTGTTATTTAAGAACATCCTGAGCGCGGCACAGACAGGACAGAGATACCACTGCTAGTGCTGCTACTCAAACAGCAACAAGAGGAACATCAGCAGCCTTCCTTTTAGTGCTAACTGACAGCAAGTACAAAACCATCCCATTAGTGAGCCTTAAAGGTCACACAGCTCCTCACTACTTTCACCACCACTCCAGTACGGCTGCCTCTTCTCCCTCATTCCTTGTGCTATCCTACTCCACTACACTGCTGAAATGCTACAAAAGCTAAGCAGCAACACAACCCTCTGAAAACGCAGCACTCCATTTGTACACACTGTCTTTCAAAATTCATTCATACCTGAGGAAGAAACTGACACAAATTATCCACCTGGATGTTTAAGGCTACGATCTGCTCTTCCACTGTTTTCAGGGTTGCTGGCTTTCTGTTGATAAACCATGCTGATGTGTTGTTCACCACTTGAATCTCACGTGTGATAATGATATTGTCAGGTGTCTTAGACCTGATTAATAAAAAGAAGTGCTTACATTTTTGAGAATGCGCAAAAGTTACCAACTGTCAAAGTATGTTAATGTTATTAAAACTTTTAGATATCTAAATATTTAATATAAAATCAGACAGTAGCAGCATATTCACATCTTACGCTTCAGAAAACATCCAGTACTTCAGTGATGAATCAATCTCACATGGAAAACATCAAGAACATCCGCAAATCGTAACTCACAGGAAGCTATTTATATAAATAACATACTCATGCTGAATGTACAAGCCATTTAAAAGCTTTTACAGACGGTGATTAGTTTATGTAAAAGTGTATTTTTTTAATGACACTTAGCAAGTTATAAAATTGGTATGCATGAGGTACACACTAATGCTATGCCTTTAAAGCAAAAAATATTAGTGTACAGAACTATATCTATAAGCTGCGTATACACATTGCATTTGGGAATAAAAATAGTATTTCACAGTATGAAAAATACTAATTTGTTTTCATTTTCTGCTTTTAAAGAACACAAAGATGCATCAGTCGTCCACTTAGTTCTCTAGCCCAACACTTCTCTTCAAAAATTTAGTCTGGTTAAGACGCATCAATAACAAATGAGCAATGAGATAATCATAAACTCTTGAAATTTTGGCCACCACTTTGCTCTAGAAATTGTCTAGTGCCTGTTCTGTCATCATACTGCTAAAGATGAAGGATGAGGGCTCATAACAGTTTGGAGGCCATCTACCTTAGGAGACTTCAGAATAGAGGTCAAAGTAGAAGTGAGTAATTCAACAGGTTCCACTGTTTGGAATAAGTGCCATAGGGATATGAGACTACTTCCTGACGACCATGATTATTTCTTCACAGGTATCCACTACCTTATTTTAATACACCAAACTTCCTTCCAAAGACCTAGAAAGACATGCTTCCTTCCTTCATCAAATTAAGGACTTTTTACTACTATAAATCTTGATTGTAGTTACAATCTAAGGGCCAAATTCAGGCAAGACAGTGCATGCTTACAGAACCCAAATTTTAAAATTCCTGTCAAAAAGCAATCTTCTGCATGATTGCTTTCTCACCCTGGATGTTGCACTTAAAATATTTTCTACCAATTAGACAAAGGACTGAATTATACCGTAATCACTACAGTAAAAATGCTAAGTCTTCACATACTGCAAGTCTCTCTTCAGACTTTCAGGTAACACTGTGATGTATCTATGTTGAAACAATCACACTATTTACCTGAAAGACATCCTACCCCCTGACCCATTGCTTGGCCAGTCTCCAAAGAATGTCTTACTTTATCCCTCCCACAAAAACCTGAGTGGACAGGATTTTTTCAAAGACCTGTTCCCCTGTATCATTTTTCCTTAACACAATTTTCTTTTTATACAATTTGGTCAGCGTGGCCAATTGTTACACAAATTACCTGAGGTTCCAAATCAGTTGATTAGCTCTATGTTCTGTTCAGTTCAGGCAAACAGATCAAGTTCAGGCTTATCAAAACCACCTGTGCTACTGCAGCTTCATGTTAAGATCTCCATGAAAAATCACCCATTTAGGAAGTCTACCAGGATAGTCTCTCTTTAGTTGTCAACAAACTCCAACTTACAGGACGCATCTACTATTGCCCTGTAACCACAGTTACTGATGGTATTCTACAGAGCAAGTCAAAATGATTTTCAGATGCTCTGTTTTGCAAAAAAGACTGCATTAGCTGAAATAGTCAGATCTACCTTTTTTTTTTCCTTCTATTTTCTTTCAGTAAGAATGTAGAGGAGCCCCTCATACCAGCAGTATCAGTATAAGAAAGTGAAGGCAGAACATTTGGTTTTAAAAACTTAAGATCTCAAGGGTTTTTTCATCTTTAAAAATTATTTCCAGCCACTACATCATGTTGGCAGTACTGACTGTATCTGAACCTTCTGAACTTTAAATGTAATCAAAAGCTAAACACATCATATACATCAATCTTCATCTATACAGTCTTTGTACCTCAAGACAGGGTAAATGCTTCAGAAAGCAAAAACCAAGAAGAGTCATCACTGCTTATTTCTTTCATATTATTATTCAACCTTATAATTTTGAAGTCTAAGTAAAAAAAAAAAAGAAAAATGGAAAAAAATAAATCACCAGCTTAAAGACAGACCTCTGTACCCCAGATTTTTTTCCACAACTATGTGAATGACTGTGTGGGGAAACAATCTAATTAAAAATGCATGAAGAAATACAATTTTACTACTTACAGTTCAATTTCTACTACACCTTTCAAGCACCCCTGCTTTACAAAGAGACCAACCTACAAAATGAATTACAGGAATTAGTATTGCAAAATAACAGTGTATTAAAATGTAATCTCTTAAAAAACTACCTATTTGTAGAATAGAGTTGCTATAATGAGTTATTCCACTGAAAACTTACAATTAAAAATGAAAATTTATTTTGGCTATTGACTAAAAATATAGGAAGACACTATTATCTTCCTCATCAACCAGCAGCACAAGAACATCCTCCATAGATTAACAATTTCTGATCAATTTCAGCTTCCAAAACTGAACAAATTATTATCAGCAGATCCACAGAGTGGAAGAAGTTCTCATGAATTTGAGGAACAAAGGCAATACAAATGAAAGACATGGCCAAATATCTATACTAAAAGAACCGTCAATTCTAATAATATAAAAATATATAAACATGCAAAGCCCATAAAAATACCAACACACAATGCTGCCATGCAGTCAATTTCCATATTTACATTTGCTCAAGACTGAGCTGGCTGCAACCAGAGAATACGTACAATCATTTAGGCACACAGATTCAGTGCTCCAAAGATCTACTGAAATATATTCCATCCAACCAGAATACCCAAGAAAGCAAGAGCAAAACTTAAAAATTTGGCAATACAAACTTCCTACTATAACGTCAACACATGATCTCTTGAGATCAAAAAATTTAAACAATAGTAGAACAACCCAAAACAATTCAACTTCCATTTAAATCAAAGACCAGTGGCTCCATGCTTTTAAATAAATTCTCAGACACATGAAGGATATCTTATTTCTACAGGTTCCACATACTTGGAAATTTAAGTTAGACTATTTTTTTTTTATTTCTTCTTTAGTTGGTATTTCTGATCAAATGTTATTTATGCATTAGGTGGCATTTTCCTACCCCACTGTGGAGGATTAGACATCTTCATATATAAACTCCAGTCCACTCAGGCTCCAGTACAAATCAGGTGTTTCAATTCCATAAATTAGTCAAGACGACAAGTATTGAAGCAAGACAAAATCACTTTGGTAAAAGTCTTTGTCTCATGACCAGGTTATTCTACAATTTGAACACCTTATTTTTTATAGAAATAAAGCACATCAAGAAACACAGCCCTTTTTCCCCTCCTCTGCCAGACAGAGCTCTTCATGAAATTTAGATTAAACAGAAAAAATACAAAAGTTCTTTGTTACCTTATCAGCTCGCCCTATGAAAGAAGGTTTTCCAGCCAGTCCCAGGCAGATGGCACAAACAATGCTTGACTTTCCTGTTCCATTAGCACCTACAATCATGTTCAGATTGGGTCCTGGATGTACTTCACACATGTCATACGTCCTGGAAAGCACAATGATTTTTTGAACCTTATAAACACTTAAAAAAATTTACTCACTTAAAAACACTTCATAATTATACTACATATGACAGATTCTATCAATCCTTAAATACTGTTTTGTAAGAAAATCTCACAGTGAAAACCAAAGCTGAAATAGAACACTGAGGAATACATACCTACCAGCCAGAGTACCTACAACAAGTTTCTTCAAAAAAAATTATTATTAAGAATGGAGTCCAGCCACATAACGACTATTTCTATTGACTTTACCAGGACATCATATTATTTTACATATTACAAAAAAAAAGACAGAAAAAAAAATTAAGTGAATTCCATCAAGTCTGTCACATTTAATTCCAGCTGCCGGCTGCACATTGCAGTCACAGAGATTCCACTCATCTAACCTGTACAATGTACTTGGGTCTTAAGCTCTTCAAGTCTGTGGAACTCTGTATTGATACCTCATGCAGCAGCTTTCCTGAGTGACAGCACCTAAAACATTAGCCTGTTATCAGTCCTTCTCTTCGTTTTAAATTGTATTAGATATCTTTCATTGTGTGTATCCAGCATGCCTAAGGCAATAGCAACTACAGCAAAAGACCACACCCTAGCAAGCAAATTCAAGACAAACTATTAATATGAGTGTCATCAGTAACATCCCAAGTTGATAACGAACCCCACCATTAGATGTTCTGTTCCCGCACTGCACCAAACACAGAGAGCAACTAACACCAAAGAAGAAACAGAAAACATTTACCGATGACACAATAACGTAATCCATGCACTTCTGGAATAAAAGGTATTTTAACCCTTAATGCTGAGGCTTAAACTACTACGTTTGAAGGTTCATTTGACACCTGTAGCATTATCTGTGAACTATGCTACTCAACCGTTTTCAAGTCTGACATAGAGCTATCTGCATACCGGTCATAAGAAAATTGCCTGAAAACTTCTACTGGTAACCGTAATAGCTCCAAACAGAACGGTATTCCCAACACAGAAGCTGGAGAAAGAACATGCAAAAGACACTACCACAGATACTTTATCCTAACGGTCCCCAAGGCCTGTCCAGCCTGCCCTGTGAACATCTCCTGCACTACCGCCTCCTCCACTGCTCGGCAATCACCTAACTGGGACACAAAAAGCATGGAGAGGCTGACACGGACAAGAGGAATCACCGCCTCAGGGGAAGAAGGGCCGACACGGCCCCCGCTGGGGAACGCACCCCCCACGGAAGCGACATCGCACCAAGAACCCGCGGGACCCGCAGCCCACACATCAGGTCTCTCCTCTCCCCGCTCGGAGCAAGGCATCAGCTTCCAGGGAAAAAGCGTTCCACGCACTCCTTCCAGCCCCGACACCATTCGGCATCCAAGACCTTATTAAGGCCCCCCGTTAACCGAGGGTAACCCCCCCGCTCCGCGGACCGCACGGAAGCGACATCGCACCAAGAACCCGCGGGACCCGCAGCCCACACATCAGGTCTCTCCTCTCCCCGCTCGGAGCAAGGCATCAGCTTCCAGGGAAAAAGCGTTCCACGCACTCCTTCCAGCCCCGACACCATTCGGCATCCAAGACCTTATTAAGGCCCCCCGTTAACCGAGGGTAACCCCCCCGCTCCGCGGACCGCTGCTCCAGGTTCGGCCCCCCTTGACTTCACCGCCTGCCACCCAGCCCCGCATTCGCTGTAGAAGGGGGCGGGGGGTCAGCCGAGGGGGTCCAGGCCAGCCACCGACCTCCCACACGGCAGGGAGGC